TCCAAATACATTCCGCTTGAGTCATGGGAATGGTAATTGTCTCGTGTTGGCAGCTGTGTGGTATGTATGTGGCGACTCCTCCACCAAAGGTGTCCCGGTCCGCTCTTATGAGTTTGTAGCCGTTGATGGCGTACATCCCGTCGCTGTCCGATGGATCCGCCCAGGTTTCCTGGATGGCGATTATTGACGGTTGTTGCAACTTTGCCACGTGGCTAAGCTCGTCCATCTTGTTGAACAGACACCTGACGTTCGAGCTGATGAAATTCGCGACTTCCATTATTTTTTATTTATTTTTGTAATTTGTTTCGTTTTTTTGGGTATTTCCGCAATTGAAAGTATTGTTCTCACTGATATTGTGTGGAGGACAGCGCTAGGATTGAGTATTGTGTGACACCAGTGGGCTGAAGCGTGAGCCCTGTGCCGGGGCAAGGGGTTGGCTTTGGCCAGGGTCGATGGTGTTGCTCTCTTTTTGTTTTTTGGAATTTTTGAAATCAGGTGAGGATTCCGCATTGGGACTGGGTCTCCTGCGTCGTTCGGAGGTAATCCAGGGGTTTGCTGGCTGGTTAGACATGTCTGTGTTAGTCACCAGTGAGGAGAGGAGGTCTTCAGCACGCGCCGAATCTGGGTGACTACACTTTGTTGTCGGAGTAGTTGTGTCGGTGTGCGGTGAGTTGGATGTTGTCGTACTTGTATTTGTGCTGCCTGGCGGCGTTCCGGGGTGCACGGTCGTGCTGGTTGCCGACATGGGCGATGCGATGTCGTGTTCGTACGACTCGTACTGGTTGTTGACTGGGTCGTTTGGGTGCGAGCTCGAGAGCACGTCCGCTTTCGGCGTGGTGTTGGCCCCATCGGAGGCCGTTTGGGATACGCCGCTGGCGTGGGTCAAACTCGGGGACGCTTTTGGTGGCGAATCGGTACGGTGAGACTCCGCTTCAGCTCCGCTGTTCATGTTCCGCTCTGTAGCTGTGCTGCCAGTGCTGCTGCCTTCTCTGCCGGCATGCGTGGAGGTGTGTGCACTGCAACGGTTTTGGCAGGTACGCGCGATGTGACCTAGCTGGCCACATAGCCTGCACGTGCCTACCTGGCCGTCGTAGATGATGCGGAGCTCGTGAGAACCTTCTGTCGTACGTAGGTACGACGGGATCGAACTGCCTGGTTTGAGTTCAAATGTGGCGAATCGCACACCAGTTGCTGTTTGGGTGCCGTTTGAAAGTTTGATTTTGCCGTGTCGTATCTCACCGATAAGCTTTCCGTACGGTGAGAGCGCAGCTTTAGGACACCGTCTGAGATCCAGATCGGAGCATCGTGGATGTGTATCTGTGTTGTTGGTGCGGAAACGAAGCGTGGTGAAACCCGTTCGCCCTTGCAATCGAAGCCATTGAGCACCAACAATTTGGCTTTTTCATACGACTCAACGGTAAGTCTACATTGACCCCTGCTTGTTGTCTGCATCGAAATGATGCCAGTGATACCTTGCTCTTCTAGGAGCTTTATGTAGGCCCCCACGCTTACCTGGGCTTGCGAGGGGAATACAACAGTGTTCTTCTTCAGTGTCGAAGACGAGAGCTGTCGCCAGGGCTCCGTATCAGCTCCGTTTCCGGCCATAACGCCTGGCGGTTGTTGTTGTTGTTGTTGTTGTTGTTGTTGTTGTTGTTGTTGTTGTTGTTCTCTTCCATTCTATGTAGGCATGTGCACTTTCATAAAATAAAAAAATTCTGCTGATACAGTGCGTGCGTGAATGGTGCAGAGTCCTTGGAACCGCGACCACGATAAGACATCGCTACATCATGTTAACTAGTATGCTAAAGCTCCGTCACAAGATCGCCAGTCTCCGGGGCCGGTGGATTCGTGAAACAGGCAGGGAAGAGCACGCATGGTCTGCCTAGATAGCATGTCGACACGGATCAGACTCAGTACGCGTGCGGCACACGGTGATGAGAAGTGATATTTTTATGCATGGTTGTTGTAGTTGTTCGCGTCAGTTGAAGGTGTTGTGGGAGCTTGAGGTGAAAACACCATCAACCACAATTCCGGCAGTCGTACTGCACAAGGAGGAGGCGAAGCCGATCGTCTAAATCGTGCCTATGGCATGAAAAAATCAATGAAGCACAGCGTAGCTTGGAGGAGATGAAAAAAATGTCGACGTTTTGCAGGTTGACGCACTTGCAGATGCACCCTGAGACACCAGCAGCGATGAAAACTAGAAGGTCAGGCCAAGTAACGACTCCGTAGTTATCTACCTACCATCTCTTGGTTGATTTTTTAGTACAGGTGCTCCTTGGTACATATGCTTGAGTTTTGAAGTGAAGCGCACATTCTAAAAGTCGGACCAAGTAATTTTTTTGTAATATTTTCGGCCTCTGTCCTAGCTTTAAATTAGTATTATTATTATTCAAAATATTGAATGACGCTTCACGCAGCTTCATTATACTTGAATCGTTTGCAGGCATTCTGCCTACACTCAAGAGTGCACTGCATTTCTCACAAATCCATGAGGGTTTCGTTACAACGTTTCGGTCTTTATGACCATCATCAGGAATCACCTAGGAATTCCTGAGGATGGTCATAAAGACCGAAATGTTGTAGCGATACCTCTAATGGATTTGTGTGAAAAGCAGTGCTCTCTTGAGTGTAGGCAGGTTGTCTGCAAACGATTCAATTGTTATTATTATTATTGTAGAAAAGAAAAAAAAGACATATGGAAACGAGTTGAGAGTAACTCTCCGCTGCTGTAACTAGATACTATACACATTCAGAAAGTGCAACAACTAGGCACAAAACTGACAGAGTATTGAGACAAAAAAGGAAAAAATAAATATATATACGAGCTGAGAGTAACTCTCCATCACTGTAACCAGATACTATATACAATCAGAAATTGCAACAACTAGGCATGTCTCATTGAATGTCTCAGTATTCTGTCAGTTTTGTGGCTAGTTGTTGCACTTTCTGACTGTACATAGTATCCAGTTACAGTGGTGGAGAGTTACTCTTAACTCGTATCCATAATGTCCCTTTCCTTTCTACATTATTATTATTATTATTCTCAATTCATTGATGACATGGTGTCAACCAATATAATGAATGAGGGCTACCAGCCGTGGAATAAAAAAAAAACAAGAAGGAAAATTCACACGCAAAATATTGCAAGTTAAAATAAAAAAGTGAAATAAAAGTAAATCAATCCAAAAACAAAAATTCAATTGAAGAGTTAGTAAATGTGATTTGCTTTGGAGCTTGAAGTAATACACAAAGAGAATGAAAATCAACGATTAGTTAATGAAGATCCACGTACGTGTATCATAGTATTTATTCAGCTTAAAAACACCTGGAGGATGTTGCTGGACTTTAATTGCTGAGAGAGAGAATCCCATAATTGGTATGCCATGAATACAGGCGAGTGGCTCATGGAATTGTTTCTTGTAATCGGGAAAGGAAGCGAGTTCCTGATTGTTGAGGATTCATTGAGCCAGTTTACGGAATGCTGTACATGCTGAGGGGCAGTGATAAGTTTGATTTTGTGAATGTATATGCAGGAGGATCGGTCAATGTAATGTTTCAGAGGAAATTTATAGCCGTCAGGCAAAATTACTGGTCAGTCGGCGACACGCATTTTTCACAAAAATTTGCGTTTCACCTGCTGGGAGAGTATGCGTGTACTCGAGTCTCATCCTGAGCACGTTTTTTTCTTCTTTTTTTCAGCTCCAGTATAGCTGTATTTTTCATTGCAAAGCCGTCCTCGATTGTTGTGTTCGTTGTTCAAACGAAGTGGACATTCAATCATGAAGGCAGAGGACATAGGAGCCTGATTGGAGTTTCTCGCGGCATAGGACGGCCACACAGAGACACTTTGGGATTTTCTGAATATAAAATACCATACGCACGATGCTGAGATCAATTTGTGCGATATCAAATTGTTTGTGATCTACCTCATCGAGCAGAACGGGATCCAAACACAAGCTTACCGACGGTTAGGCTGCCAACCTGACTGGACAAATGATCCCTGGCTTCACCAGACGCCAGAAGTCGGACACCATGTCCTTTGCCGCGACGTCCATCTCCAAAAAGAACTCCATCTTCGTCGTGAAAAGGCTTGAAATACTCAATATTCAACCGAGATTCGCGATCTCACCCTTTCTCAGATCGAATTATTTTTTGTTGTAGCAGTTGCGGGGCAGATCCCCGCCAATACTTCAACAGGAGATGGCTCCAAAGCATGCCTGGAACAAGCCATATCGAGGTTGCAAGCCACCCCTCTCAGCAAGAAATTCGAAATTTCAATGGTGGAAGATATACTATGAAGAGAATTTCAAAAAGTATGTTTCGCGGGGCGATCTCTCAACCTACGTCATTCAAACTTTGCAGAACGGTTCAGACGTACATGCTAGGCATGGAACCACAGAGGATGATATCATAGCTGACACACAGAGTCACACACACAGCAGATTCGTGTGCACAGATACTTAATTAGTGGACGTCGTCATCTTCTTCCCGCTGATCTAAAATGTACTATTACGTGCTATTTCGCCTGACGCAATTTTCATAGAGAATTGGTCTGTTGGTCGCGGGGTGGCAAACGAAGTATTGCCCGGAGAATCCGTCGATGCACAAACTCCAGCTTTGCAAAGAGGGCATTACCAGCGCCACCGTCCCACCTCACAGCAATACAAGAAAATAGGCAAAACGTATGTATGATAAAAAGGTCTTGCAGCATTCCGGTGAAATGTGGGGGAGATGGCCATAAAGAATACCGACTAATGAGCTTGCCCGCTTTTCCAGATTCTGGAAAAGTATGGTAATTGTCCAACACTGTCACCAGGTAACAAACATTCATCAAATGTAACAACTGGTCGCCATTCTAGTTGATTAATAAGACTAGCAGGGGTCTTACAAATACTTCCAACACATGTCCGCTGCACAAACATCCTGTGAACTGTGGTCTGTTCAACGATTTCCCTCACATACAAGTTTTTTCTTCTATTCTGTGTTTTGCCTGATAGCACCAAAAAAATCATCTCGAACTGACTCTGGAACGGCACCAAACAAATCCTCTCGAACTGACTCTGGAACGGCACCAAAAAAAATGAAAAAAGGAGTAGCAATTGGAACATCAGTAACAGTTGTAGTAGTAGTAGTAGTAGTAGGACTGGTAATGGTATTTCTAAAATACCGAAATACACCGAATGGAAGAAGTGAAGGTGAGATTCTTGTTTCACCAACATGCAATGATTTGACCTGGCTTTTTATGTACTTCTGCACAAAAGAAAATGATTAAGAGAGCATGTCTGAGAATACCAAAGTATGTGTGCAAGTGGATCTCTCCGATTTCGCTCAAGATTTGGAGGTAGGTTCCCTTTGGGGTGTGGATTGATTGTGCAAAGCCCTTAAAAAAGCTTCTGAAGGGAACCTTTAAATTTGCATACCCCTCAAAAGTGGCTGAAATATCACATTATTTATGGGTCTAGAAACGAGTCACGCCACAGCGTATATGAACAAGCTATGAACAAAACTCCATCAAGCCAACACTGCCTCACCTTAGAAGTGTCCCTGGAGCAGTACCGCTTAGCCACGCCAGGATCCCAGAAGACGAGGTCCATCACCCCCTGACGCCACAAATGATCGTCTTGATAAAAGCCAATTTACAAGCGCTGGCAAAACAGCCAGCTACGTCCTCAATAGGCCACAACTATACACCGGCAGATAGTAGAACACCTCTTCTAGCGCTGAGAATATGTCCCCCATCTTCCTTTTGGGGTTTTCTTGAAATAATGTTTACAATTTTTCCACTCGACCATGCTGAAATATGGCCAAAGTCATACCTGCGCAGGAAAGCTCGCCCCTCCGCGACGTCTCCTCAGCAATTTCTACTCCAACACTACTCCCAAGGCCGCAGAACAAAGTGTATTGTTGGCTCTGACAAGGAAAAGCAGCGGTGATCACTTGTCACTCCAAACGACAAGCTTCTTCTTGCACCACTAATACTTTTTTGTGCGACTGTTGATACAAAAGTGACTGAAGGCATGAGCGCAGTTTTTGAATTTTATTGCAAGATGCACGATGAGATCGCGTGCTCTGTGACGTAGGATGACGCTTCCTGGATCATGACACGCGGCCATCGATCGCGAACGTGACTGGAATGGTACTCGGAACAGACCACAATGGCGGAGGTAAGATGAGCAGTATTTCCAGCTTGATCTGCTGAGAACCCCCACAAACTGTCGTAGGAGTATTGCAATGGCAGCAAGCCGTTGAAATATGCCCTCGTACAGCATGGAGAGTTATTCATCTTTTACACTTACCCCCTGCAATCCCGAACATAGTCCAACAGTAAAAGTCCCTTTTTTTCATGTCGATGCTCGACAAAATCTGCTAGCTTGGTCGCTTTGTGTTGACTGGCACGCGAGCAGCACTGGCTGCACGTACTTGTCGCGTGAACTGTATGAGAGATTTCTTACGTCATAGACCACACTTTGCAGGTGATCTGCGGATATTTCCCCTAGTTTGTCGGGATTATGGCTCATAATCCCGTAAACGAGGGGATTTCATATCCACAGGAACTCTTCTGGATCCCCCCTCGGACCCAGTCCTTCTATCAGCAAAACCAAGAGAGCTAGCTCACTTGGCTGCTGTTTGAATATGCAAGATTGGGCCTTTCAGATAAGGTCTAACAAGGAGAAGTGGCTATAGTTGTCAAAAGAAAAGCATATTGGTGAAACAAAATGGCAATCTTTCTATCACCAACAAACAAAGCATCTTAATTTGCAACATGTTACATGAACCAGGTGTGCCGAACACCGGTAACCATGGAGACAGACCACACTCTCATAAAGATACTTAGAAGACGCCCCAAAATGTGTGTATGAAGAGACAGTGTGCTCAATTCAAGAATGGCAACCATGAAGGGAGCAAAGACGAAACATGTCAAAAGCACCAGAACCATGTTTGAATAAATAGACAAAATGCTCAATTCATATACTAATATAGCTATGAATAGGATGAAGGCCGCAGACATCACGCAACTACGTTACTTGTTTGACATGTATTACTGTGTATTTTATAACAAAAATATTATTGAAAACCCAGAATCGATTTTCTCGTTCCTATCATCAGTGGGAAAAAACGGAACTAAGGATACAACCAAAGAAACTGAAGTTAAGTACTGTAAATTGGTGTGTATGATGACTCTCATTTTTCTGTACTGTGTCGTGCGCGTTATGTCCAACAGTTGAAAGTCCTAGAGGCAATTTGTATACGTATTCATAAGCCTGTTTTGTGTAAGCAGAAAGAGCACATTGTTGCACTGAAGTTGTATTCGTAGGTTCACACTTCGTTCAGTGCCTTCTCGCCTTTGGTTATGTAATCTTGTTACCTTTCTTGCGTTTCCTCTAGTGGTTTTATTGCACTTGTATCTTGATGTTATTTCTAACACCTTTCTATTTACAGTACTTAACTTCAGTTTCTTTGGTTGTATCCTTAGTTCCGTTTTTTCCCACTGATGATAGGAACGAGAAAATCGATTCTGGGTTTTCAATAATATTTTTGTTATAAAATACACAGTAATACATGTCAAACAAGTAACGTAGTTGCGTGAAGTCTGCGGCCTTCATCCTATTCATAGCTATATTAAAATTATTATCTCCACGTAGGTTATTCATATACTAGTAGGCGGAATAGAATTATAACCATGATGGGAGCAAAGGCGGAACATGTGAAAAGCACCACAAAATGTTTGAATAAAAATTAAATAAATGCGGAACATGTGAAAGCACAAATGTTCGAATAAATAGAGAAAATGCCCGATTCAAATAAGCGGAATAGAATTATAACCATGATGGGAGCAAAGGCGGAACATGTGAAAAGCACCACAAAATGTTTGAATAAAAAATAAATAAATGCTCAATTCAAATAGGCGGAATAGAGTGGCATTCATGAGGATATGTTACTTCATGTTGATGATTATGGTAGCTCCTTGCTGTGCATAGATGTTGCCGATGCTTGCAAGAGGAGACCTCTTTGCATCTGGCTCAACAGGCTCACTAGTTGCACCTTCAACAGGCTTGGACACTCCTGAGTGCGTCGCTGATGCAGGGTTGAGCTGTGCCTTCTCTTTGGCTTCCGGTTCTGACTTCTTCGTGTCAGGAGTGCTCTCCTTACAACCATTGAGCACATCAGATGCACGCATCTCGCTTTTATGCGACGCCGTCTTGTAGGCTCGGACGGACTGGCTTCGGTGACCTGTGTGCTCTTTAATCAGCTGCTCGTCCATGCCCTCATCGTAGAGGACCATGGCACACGTTCGGCGGAGAGAGTGATTGGTTTTCTCAACGGCTTGAGATAAAAGTCATTGCTATCTGGACGCTTGTTCGTGTAGGTTTTGAAAAGTGAAACAATGCACCGCTCGGGGCACTGCGGATTATTGAAGGCTTTGACCGTTTTGGGGGTCAGTTTCCAGGTCTTGAGACCACCCTGGTAACTCTTCGAAACTTCCTCCGTGTACAGAAGGTACGGGTGCTCCCCGTCCTTCTCCACCATCTTGATCTGGCTGGTGGAACCAAAGCGCAACGCACGGTGCTCTTCTCCGCTGCGCAGTGCAAAATTCCTGCCAACAAGATAAAACATCGTGTCCACAAGCTGCTTTGGGTTTCTTCTGCCCAACACACCCGACTTCCAAAGAACATCTTCATCTTCAGGCCATATTGCCAGGGCCTGCATCGTCTTTGGTTGGCCAAATCTTGCAGATTGCTTCATGAGACCATCCATTACGTCCTGAAACGACTTGAATTCCCAGGAGCAAAGAAGCTGCAGTCAGGCCCCTTTCCTGACAGCTCTCTGCAGCTCAACCATTATCTCGTGAACGGTTTTGGCACAGTACTCCTGGCCGCCACCGTCACGGATTTCGAGGACAAACCTTTGCAGAAGCCACACCAGCTCAATGTCGTCTAACTCCACAATTGGACGAGCGGCTGCATTTTTCATTTTTTTTCGTTTGGATACTGTGCTGAATCCCTTGATGATCTTCACTTGTCCCAAATTGAAACGGCCCAGGCCATTTTTTCTGGTGTTCTTGGGCACACTTGACTTTGCCATGGCACTAACCTGTTCGTACGAAACCAGGGCAAAGCGATTACTGGCGTTATCATTCGTGGAACTGGAAGACTCATCCGGGACTTTATTATGATCATTATCGTCCTTTGCTTCATCAGCATCATCAGCAGCAATATCAGCATCAGCATTATCATCAGCATCAGGGACAAGCGGACAACAAATCTCATCAAACTCTTCATCCTCCACATCTTGAACTAGCGAGCAGCAAGGCTCGTCAAATTCATCACTTCTAGTATCTGTGTCGCAGTTATTCACCGGAGCATCCGGAACAAATGAGCAGCGAAGCTCATCATACTCCTCATCAGACACTTCCCATGAGACCAGATCTTTGCCCATGTCAAACAAGCTTAGCTACTCATCGTCCTAGAACACAAACAGCACGTTACCTACACCTATTCTAGCTACTGTTACCACGCAAGTTATCGCACTGTAAACGCTACTAAAATACTATTATTACAGGCTGTCGAATGCACAGCCAGAGTAACACAAGACAGCGGGGAGACGACGATCACAAGGACAGAAACAACAACTTGACCAGCATGAAATCACATAGAAAAAACAACATGGTAGTACCGGTCTTTGAAAAAGTCAAGCAACACAAAAACAGCACACAAAACAGCACACAAAACAGCACACAAAACGTGTACCACACTGATCTCCTGAAAAGGGTGGTCGATTCAGGATATTGCACAATGTCCGCGAGAATTATTTTTCATTATCCCCGCAGCGCTGCGTGCCTAGGGGATTTGAAAAATAATCCCCTCAGAACCGTGCAACATCCTATACAAAAAGAATGTGATTTCATCAACATTTCATTGGTCTTCGACCTACACGGGCAGGGAAAGTCCCTGTTAGTAGGCCTACAACACGGTCAGCGTGTTCTTGAGTGCAGTAACAACACAAGTGTGATCACTTCCAGACCAACGGGCGTTCAAGGCGAGTAACAAGTGCAGTTGACGAAGGTGACTCTGAAATCTCGTGAGCCGTGATTCACGCGGCCTGGCATTCTTGCGTCACAAGGCACGTGATTTCACCATGCCTCTCGTAGTAAAATTCAAGAATTGCGCTCATGCCTTCAGTCACTTTGCATCAACAGTCGCACAAAAAATTATTGGTGGCGCAAGAAGAAGCTTGTCGTTTGGAGTGACAAGTGATCACCGCTGCTTTTCCTTGTCAGAGCCAACAATACACTTTGTTCTGCGGCCTTGGGAGTAGTGTTGAAGTAAAAATTGCGGTGGAGACGTCGCGGAGGGGCGAGCTTTCCTGCGCAGGTATGACTTTGGCCGTATTTCGGCATGGTCGAGTGGAAAAATTCAAAAAGGTTTATTTCAAGGAAACCGCAAAAGAAAGATGGGGGACATGTCCTCAGCGCTAGAAGAGGTGTTCTACTATCTGCCGGTGTATAGTTCTGGCCAATTGAGGACGTAGCTGGCTGTTTTGCCAGCGCTTGTAAATTGGCTATTTTCAAGACGATCATTTGTGGCGTAAGGGGGTGATGGACCTCGTCTTCTGGGATGCTGGCGTGGCTAAGCGGTACTGCCCTAGGAGCACTTCTAAGGTGAGGCAATGTTGGCTTCATGGAGTTTTGTTCATAGCTTGTTCGTATACGCTGTGGCGTGACTCGTTTCTAGACCCATAAATAATGTGATATTTCAGCCATTTTTGAGGGTATGCAAATTTCAAGGTTCCCTTCAGAAACTTTTTTAAAGGGCTTTGCACAATCGATCCACACCCCAATGGGAACCTACCTGTAAATTTTGAGCGAAATCGGAGAGATCAACTTGCACACATACTTTGGTATTCTCGGACACGCTCTCTTAATCAATACCAATACCATTTCGGTTTTTATCGTTCCACAAGACAGAGAGATTGGAAGCTGTAGTGCAAGTCCAAGTTTCCACGATCATCAGGAAACCTGGTGGCTGATAGTTGTGGATACGTGTAGAAGCCTCTGATATCTATGGGCATTGAGGACTCTTTGGACAGTGGAGCACAGTTGAGTATCGTTATCAAGGTTGAAACGGTGTGGCACAAATTATGCGCAAGAGTTTGTTAGTTTTTCGGCTCTTTCTAACTTCCTTGCCGTGGAGTATTTCAGAGCTCATTATCAGTCTGGTGCTACTTTGTGCACGTCTGACTGTGCAGAATCTGGTCTAGTTTGCGAACTCTAAAATAGAACTTGTTCCACACCGCTTTCCATGTTTCCATTTAATTTAACCACAAAGGAAATTTAAAAAGTGCGATAGATCTAATGCCAGCCAGAAACAGTTACTTGAATTAAATAGAAATCAACTGGGGGCAAAATGCAAAACATTCAGTGAAAATAGGAGGGAGGATTGAGATATCATAAACCAGGTGGATGCACGGAGCAGGAGCATGTAATGCTCAAAAGCTGATGGGATGCATTGTTCTGGAATGGATTTCCACGAAATTGGGTTGTGATGTGGATAGGGGTGGAGTTGACAAGGATGACGGGACTGTTAATGGGAATAATACCAATATAAAAATTCATGAGCATGTGGCCTCTAATTTCCTACCACTTTGAAATTCTCAACAAAGTCCAAATTTGAAAGTGTAATTTGTGTTTGCTCGCAGTCGACATAGTTTGATGCACTCCCCACGATTTCAAGCGAATGGCCGAGGGACCTCTTGATTAGTGTGAGTTGCCAGTACGATGCAAGCCAGATATTGATTGATCGAAGAATGACAGATTTGCCATCACTGTAGATAAGAGTCATACTGTAGCTCAGTTGGTTAGAGCATTGCTCGTGAATAGCAAGGTCACTGGTACAAGTCCCGGTGGTGTGACTAATGATTTTCCTTCTTTCTTATCTGGCTTCCAAGTGTCGAGTTTCGGAGAGAAAAGAGCAGTACGAGGCATGCGGCCTCTATTTTCCTAACACTTTGAAATTCTCCGTGAAGTCCAAATTACACAAACTAGAAAGGACCAAGGAACTACAAGTTACGCTATACTGTCCACTAACACCACCAGTTACTAAACAATCAGCTCATGCGATAACATTGCACGACACTGACCGACGGTACTGACAATCTGCGACTATCTGGGTAAACGCTCTAGAACATCTTGAATGCGCACGCCAGCAGCCTTCCGTAGTTCCTTGGTCTTTTGTATAAAATAATCCTTGGCTCATATTGCTGGTGAACGAGATTTCATTTTTCTTGGCCAGGTCACGAAGTTCATCAAAGCCGAGGATGGCAAGATCGGCATTAGATAGATCCTCAGCCATACTATGTCCACTACTTCAGAATTACCATGCGTGGAAACTAGTAGAAAACAACAGCTTAGTCATGCTCTGAAAATCCTATTAATGCGAAGTAACGGAATTTGCATCCATGCAGCACTGTACAAAAACTTTGGAATGAGTTCGAGATTGCAGAGTGAATGGGCAGAGAGCGAGTCTGCTCTGAAACATTTTCCTCACTATATTTTAACACGGAAAATGTGGGCACAAGTTATGCGATCGTGTCCACCAGCTAAACCAGAATTGTTAATCCATGAGCCTTCCAAGTCAGAAGACCGTTGATTAGCGCTATCAAGCAGTGCTCAAGCTGACTTTCGTGCCGTGGAATGTCTCAGTACTCCTTGTCAGTGTTTGTGTTAGACTGTGCACGTCTGACTGTTTAAAATCCGGTTGACTGTTGAGTTAGTGACCTCGATCGCAGAACGTGTGCCCACATTTTTCCAGGTTACAATGTTTTCCCAGGCCCACCGTCTGATATCTAACTATAATTATAAAGCCTTCTATAGTCCAGCCCGGCCAGGCGAATAGGATAATTGATCACCCAGATAGTTGACGTCTGGATATTCGGCGTTCTACGGTGACTGTATGCTAAAAATATTTGGCTTAGTAAAGCAAGGGCCATTCAAAACAATGAGTTGATTTACTCTTTGAAAAAACTCTTTGCACCCTTTCGGTCTCACCCGATTCCTCAGTGCTCATTTTACTGGAACTGATAGCTCAAGAAAAGTCCTAATTTTTGGATTGTGGAGAAAGCAATGAGGTTGTTTCACCTCCACAATATGTGCTTTCTGCCCAACCTCATTTACATCAACAACGTGACTCCAAGCTGTAGATATTGGCCAATAGAATGAAGTCGGCCACAGTACATACAATGTATGTAGTTTGGCTGGAACAAATTCTATGATGAGTAGATGGAAAGCTCCTGAATACTCCCATAATCCTGAGGAAGCACTTGGTTTATAGGGTAGATTTAGTGCATACTCTACTGCACGTGCTCTCAAGAAACTTTAAATGCAGTGGATGGAGCAGTTATTTCGTTCTCACCACTCCATATGTGTATGTTGTGCGTTGTATGTCGCAGAATTTGAACTTTCTTCAACTTCTGCGACAGGCACCTTGCGAGCTGTATGCAACAGCTCATAACAGGCAGTTTCTTGTCGCAGCAGTCGAAAATCGCGTGTCGAGTGGCAGAAAGTTGTATTGTGAATCGGTCTTAAGCGGTCAAATATCAGTATTAACCATACAGGATAATAGAAGGGTGTTTGATGAGATCGAGCTCATTTAATCACTGCGTTTGTATTAATGTGATCGACATATCATGCTATAGTGTATCTCTAGTTCCGGTACATGTATCTTTAGATGCCTCCTATTATCTGTTTACTCTGCTCTTTTGATAATATTTGAAGGAACGAGGATCAACAAGGCTAACTCTAGCCCTCAGCGTCACAGCCCGAGATATCAGAGTGAAGTCCCCTGCTAACGCTGCTGAACCATCCAACCAGTGTGTTGCATGAAGAGTGGAACCAATTTAGTATTTAAGACGTACACCAGGTTTGTACGCTATTTTTCCTACGCATGCATTTTCCAACTATCAGTGTAACTACATTTTGTGCTGACCATTTCTTAGTTTATATGGACAGCAGCCCTTCTCTCTTCATACAATTCCTCGAGAATCACGTACTCTATTGCTAAAAGTAGGTATGTAAAACACATGCAGATGTTTGCTTTAAATTTGTTCATCCGAGAAATTTTTCTCACGTTCATATCCAATCGCTATATTAGGTGCTGTTTTATCTATGCATGTCTGGTTTGCTTCATTTCCATTTATGGCAAGCAAGGACATTTAAGAAAGCTATTTGAGATTTTTGTAAATATTTTTGGTTCTTGTTTACTTACCTCCGTATAATGTTATAGGGACTGGAGACTGTCATTAATGAAAACCGGAATACATGCCTCTCTGTGCGGTGTAACCCTTTGATTAATTTAGAGGAGATTAAGGATTTCTGTTAGGCTTTCTGTTTTCATTGAGAGATATGTTGGTAAGGTATTTCATTTGCGAGAACAGAAAGTTTCTATTTTATTACACAGCTAGGCTTAGTTATCTTGGATGTACATCCAAAATTCATTGCAGTATGGTTATTATGTCCAGAACTCAAAAGATGTGTATTAACATTATTATTTACATCATGATAGCTATATTTCATGTCCGATGGCGGCCTATCTTTTCGTTTTTCCTTCATTACCTTGGCACATGTTATTGGGGCTGGATATCATTTTCACTAAATTTAGAGGAGATAAAGATTTTCTGTTAGGCTTTCTGTTTTCATTGAGAGATATGTTGATGAGGTATTTGATTTGCGAGAGCAAAAAGTTTATATTTCATTACACAGCTAGGATCAGTAAGTGAGATTGTACTCTTTATACCTTAAATTAGGATTCATAATCTTCAGTATTTATCCTGAATTTGATTGCAGTGTGCGTATGGCGTGCAGAGCTCAAAGGACGTGTACCATGAGAGTTCTAATATATGTCCACTGAGGTCCTATTGTCATTTCTATGACTTGAAATTGATTTTGGTGGAAGATTAGACACACACACAGACAGACAGATTACAATTGCTGGGTCACGTTGGACCCGCATTGCTCATTGTCGTGCGTGGTGGACAAGACCCTTGTGTTGGTGTTGCACGCACGTGTGATGTCTTTCTGTAACTGTAGTGTTTCCAGGACCAGGAAGACCAGGTCCAGCCAATCTGTCTGGCGTTTGGGTCAACAAAATACGAATGACAAGAACATGCATGCATCCACGTAACAGTAACGGTCCATGTAGATCCAAAAGCCAGCATTGGTTATGCCTTTAGGCCTACTGTTAAATAGAAGCTTCAAGCCCTATTCTTTTGGGTTTGGGAGAGTATAGTTCTTATGAATAACTGTAGAGCAGCAATTACGTGTGGAACTGTTTTTCTGTAAAACTGGAGATTAGCTATAGAATCGTGAGCGGCGCCATTAGACCTTTCAATAATACAATGGCCCTGTATCCCTCTCCATCATGTCAGCTTCACACCTACCCCAATATCTCGCTTTTCTGCCCTAGATTTTTAACTAACCATAGTCTGTCCAGTGCATTTAGGAGAGGAGTAGGGGAACATTGGATTTTCTCGCCGTGAATAACTGGCGCTTTGCATAGGTTTTGGATTTTCATCCACACTTTTGACCCTCATGTCGGTGGCGTACCCGTGGTCAATGAAACGTGTTGTTGGCTGAGATTCTTGGGTGGATCGGAAATATCATAGATAAATACGAAGGCTATCTTTGCGAATTGTGAAAACCCAGACGCTACTATCTAATTGCACTCTTCGCGCTTCGATCCTACATGACCGTAGACGTGTATCGTGTTACTGTTGCATTGGTGGACAGTAACTTCATTTCCTTCATAACTCATACTCATGTGTTCCCATGTACAGCGCTGGCAACTGAAATCCGACCCCCTGATCAGCTGAGCGCACCGCTCAGCTGATCAGGGGGTCGGATTTCAGTTGCCAGCACTGTACTTTTCATTGTGTGATTGGTTCAGTATCCGAGTACAATATTTAAAATGGGTTTATTCAAACTTTATTGCCTACTTGGTATCATACCTGAGCACGGGGGTGACATAAACGTACATGTAACTGTATTTTGTAGAAATTTAAATGCACACTATAGCTTCCGTCTTCTTCAGTCATTCTGTAGGTACACAGCATTGCACGTTGTGCCTTCGAGGCTGTTATCGCCCTGGATCGAGCCTATGGGACTGGCCTCATGGCCAGAGCGTTTTGAGATATTCAGTTTGCTCAGCGGATTTTTCCATTTACACATCCTGTACTTTCACGTCATGATACAGGAGAGGAGAGAAGCTAGGACAAAAAAGCCCGTCAGCAGCGCACCAATGCCAGTTTGTAAAAGTATGCAAAGGGCCATGCTGGTGAGCTGCAAGGAATGGCCTACCATGTGATATAATTATCCTGGCCCAAAGCTATCAGGCGGATCTAATCATAGCCTAGAAGCTGTGGCATCTTATATGATCCACAGAAAGAAGCCAGCAATGCCTGTACCTACATGTATGGTGAAGTAAATTAAAGGCAACATCTATAAAGAAGCCGCCAGTTTCTTCCAAGCATGTATACCATTGGTCAATTATTGGCGAGCCTGGCCCAGTACTGCAGGGTTTGGGAAAATTAGAATATCCGACATGCCATTTGCTGGACTACTATGCTGCCAAAAGTCACCTCAACGAAGAGCTGTTTCCTCAGCCTTGCATTGGCCAATTATGTGACCATACTGGGGTTTTTCGTTGCAAACTTTCGTAGCGCCACCAGAAAGTACGGCGAGTGGATACACATGTCCATGTGTCTATGCATAAGTGTCTTATAAACCAGAGAGGTTCCAGGCTGCTCAGGAAAGTGCTCAATATCGAGAGGCAGAGCTAGTTCAAACAATACGAGGACGGACAAATGTTTTCAAACACTTTCCCGTCCTCTTATTTTAACTCGGATACTGAGCCAGTAATAAATGTACAAAAAAAGAAGAGAAGAAACACATGAGATTGTTGGTGCATAACTCGTTCTTATATGTTTCTTCTCTTTTTTACGTCCTCTTATTTTTTGTTTTTTACATTTCTTAAATGTCCATGCATCCATGTATCCACGTGGATATGCATGTCCATGTGTCCATGTTAACGTGGAATTACATGGGCTTGTAAAAAAAAAAAGTAAATTATCGTGTCCGTTCCCGAAGGGAACTCACGACGGCCGCTAACACCCCGTAAATCCTAGCGGCAGATGCAGCGCCTAACGGTGGGGGTGAGTGGATAAGTCTCACAACCACTGGCACAAGTGCCGAGAACGGCCCCATTAGCTGCATCCATGTACCCCTTGTGCCTGGCCACAAGTTTCCAGTTGACTGTGGGTAGCAGCACGGCTGGAAAAACCGCTCCCAGGCAGGACTTGAACCAGGTACCTCTCGTATCTCAATCATGGTCTTGTATAGTACCCCATATTTTCGGGATGGGCCATGTGCCTACTCCGAACCCACCCGACACATACTACTCATGTATAAACATAGCAAAGTTCAGTTGTCTGGGAACTCTCGCTATTGTACTACTCATGTATACGTTGATATGATTTTCGTACAAGAGAGCAGAATAATGAGCAGATTAATGGACGTTTGCGAGCAGGGTAAAAGCATGGTGAATCTGATCAAGATGCAGAACTGGCAAAATTGTCCCCTAACCCCTAAAGAAAAGCATTAACTCTCAAAGATTCTTTGTGGTAACCCTCAAAGATGTGGCTTAGAGCAACCTTTGATTAATATTATTATTTGAGTCTCTAGAAACTCGTCAAAATGGACCTTGGTACAAAAGAAGCGTTTGCAGATCGTCATAGCCAATCGCAGCCAAAGAGCCAATACATACGGTTTGCAGGAATTTGCCATCCTCTAGTTGTCCTACTCGCAACTTGTGAGGAAACTCCGTCAGATAACTGCCCTCAAACACAGCAAGCTTGGACGGAAAAATCCTTCAGCCTTATCCCAACATACAGTTTTGAAAGAAGGGTGCGAAGGATACTTTTACTGTTTCGATGAATGTGATCACCATCCAGTCTTGACTTTTCCCATCGCCTCCGGAACAGAGTCATTTTGGGTAAGTACTTTCGTGTCATTGTTTTTACACGAACACAAAACGATTTGAAGATGCTTGGACATTGCAATTGTTAAAATCTCTTGCCAAACTGCCCGCGAACACAAGAACGCTAGCAAGTCTATACCACAGTTTTTCTTCCTCAAGGCAAAGCTCAAAACCCTCCCTTCCCGTTCATTCCTACAACTTCCTACATCCGGCTAAAATAGGATTTCACAAACTGGTAGCAACATGGTGAGTATCAAATTTCCGCAGCGTGCCGGAAAGTAGCATGCGATATCGCATGTTGCTATGCACAATGGGAAAGGTGCTGATACACTGGACGTCAGGTAACAATCACGTGCCAAGTAATACTGGAATATATTGCGCTCTTGGACTACGAATCAAGTTGAACAATTGGAAATATAATTGGGGAAGAAGGAAGAAAATTGGAACGTGATTTAACGATACCGACTTGAACCGATGCTCCTTTTATATTTTTATATAGAAAGTGGAAGCGTCATGATGTAGTGTAGCACTGAGTCCGTGTTTTGGGCGGCAATTAAATATTCACAACAGAGTCGTCTTCAGGTAGCAGCGTGAGCAAAAATCGATCTTGGATTTATGCTAGAAAGATGTTGAGAGCTACCACTTATTGACAATGCTGTCACCTCCAACAACTAGTCGCACGTCGGCGTGAAGGACAACAAAACTGACTAAGAAGTTGCGACTTCGGCGGTAACCGAGCGGTTAAGATGCACAGTATTTCCGACGTGATGCGCAATTTCACGTCAAGTTTGGCGTAAACTCCAAATTTCGACGTGAGCTTCAGGTCACTCGCGTTGTTTTCCAACATGCAAACCAAATAACACGAGATCCACTTTCGCGTCAAGTGCATATTAACCTCTCCATTTGTGATAAAGTTGGTTGTTCCAGCGAGGAACACACGTTTCCTGCCGAACTTGAATGACTCTTGACTGCCATCCTTAGCACACGATGAGCACGTCAGACCTTCCACTCGCCCTCCCTGCAAGAAAGCACCATTTCCTGCTCCCTCTGTATAGAGGTGGAACAACCAACTTGTTAGTTTGATAGCAAAAACAAGGTGGAGGACACTGTGTTCGGAAACAGTGACCTTACTACAACCAACCACGGTTGTCAGAGCCCCGGTCCGTTGGGAACATCTGAATCACATGGGTGTTGAACCCGGGTCTGACTCTCATTATAATAGGGGTGGTTTTAGACGACTGACGTTAGGAGAAGACTCCCCGAGCATAATGAGAGTCAGAACCGTGTTCAACACACATATGGTTCAGATGGTCTCAACGAACCAGGGCTCTACCAACCGTGGATGGTTGTAGTAAGGTCACTGTTTCCGAACACAGTGTCTTCCACCTTGTTTCATGCTGTCAACCTAACAACATGTGTGAACTATAACACGGTTTATCTAATACTAGTATTGGGTTATAATTATAAGAAACAACTTGTATGATAGGTTTTTCATTTGACCCGACGAGACCATACGACGCTTCCAGACAATGACACGAACAGTTCAATTGAACTGTTCGTACTGTTGTCTGCAAACGTCGTATGGTCTCGTCGGGTCAAATGAAAAACCTATTAATACTATTTGACGGACCTATGGAAGATGGCATCAAATAATAATAAAAATTATTATTATTTTTGAACAACATGTATAACCTACAAGTAATAATTATTGAACTTGTGGTAGCAGCCTAGTCTTAAATTTCATTTGGCATTCAATTGACCGTAACTTTGGTGTTGCTCAATGGATTTGAGTGAAATTTTGACCACACACTCCTGCCACTATGCTGGCCCTCAGGACAGGATTTACAAGTTCTTGCACGTCACTGACAAGCTTTCCA